TCTTTTCCAAACTGTTCTGACGGGACTGAGAGAATTCCGCACTCATTTTTTAACCAATAGCTTCGACATTTAAATAACTGCAGTAGCTTGTTGCTTAAGTTGAAACTGCGTCCAAGAGAGTCGTCCCATCCATTTGCAGCCTTAGTATTGTGTAAACCTTTGAAATTCAACCACAGTGACCGTTAAACAAACCACAGCTGCAGACCTGAATGTTTCCTGCTTGTGCGTCTTCAAATTCTGATTTGGTCAGAATTCCTTTAAAAAAAAAAAAGAGTTGGAATACCTGTTTCGGGTAGATCTCGGTTAAATATAAAAGCCTATGAAACGCACGCTTACAAAGTGAACTTCCTTCAGACATTTTGATAGTAAATGTCTTCTGTGGTGATCATGTTGCTTATCATACTTTCAAACTATGCTTCTTAGGATGTCGTGCTTTTAAAGACCCGTAGCTCTTCACATTCGATAGACTGCTGTCTGAATTGCACGCCGATGTACAACTAGAGTTGGTATATTTAGCAAAAAGGGTCCCTTAGCCAGTGTGTATGTCCCCTGGAGGAAGATATATTTTTTTTAAATTCTTGAGGTCCCTTACAGATTTGAGCCACCTACCCTAATAGGATTAATTTAAACACTTCACTTGTTTTCAGTTTCTCATCTTGTCAGAGATAGCTGCTTTAACCATTCTATTTCAGAAGCTGTGATACTTAACATTGAATAGAAAAAAAAATCCTTTGCAAAGGTCCGAGACTAGCAACTTGTTCTTTTAAGGATTCAGTCATTTCATTATTTGCATTCCAGCTGAGCTCTTTTAAGTCATCTGTGCAGGTGGGGGGGTCACCAGCACCAGGTAAGGGAACCCCCCGAGTAAGCATATCAAGGAAGGTGGGATTCCTGAGTTCTTCTGACATGCAGGTACCACAGTGTGGTTTTACTGTACTTAACCACCCCCCACCCCCACTCTGAAGCCTGAACTGTTTTGCATTTAAGTAATGCTGTACAAATACCCTACTTTAGTCCAAAGTTAAATGCAAAGATTTAGTCTAGAGCAAAGCTCTCCCTTAGGACAAGTGCAGTGTATTTCAAAGCCTTGTAGAATGGGACTAAAAAAAACACTTCGGAGGTTACTTCACACAGTAAATGTAAATTCTGTCTTGACTGGTGCTTTTGAAGCTGGTTATAGCATTTGTGTAATTCAAGGCTATATAATATAAACTGAAACTCATCTTTCTGTGAGGTATAGTGTATGATGGGCTATTTCTTCCCTTGATTAAAAACAATTGCAAATGAAGTGAGGCCTGCTACTACATCTTTGTTGTTGGAGGAAAGATGACTATTTAATCTGAATTTTTTTTTTTCACTCCAAGGAAAGGGTACGTTTTTGCATATCAAGCAACTGTGTGGTCACTCTGGTGTCTGGGTTCAAGCCCTCTGTTTTTTCATCACATCAAGTAAAAGACCATGACCTGTACTGCAGGTGTTGGCACATGAGTGATTTAGCCATTATTTAATTTTTCTTGGATAGCATTTGCTGTCAGGACAGACAGTATAAGAGTTTGTATCGGTTGGTCACCATTCGCAGAGCGGGAGATCACAAGCTCAACTTTGGTTTAAAATGATTTTCATGATGTTCATTGCTAAATTGCAGTAGTTGACGGGTTATTCCAATGCTAGGATGGGGGTAATCTCTTAACTTTCTTGGGAGACAAATCTGAATAAGGGGAATAGGTGTGGTGAGTACATATTTCTCACATATGTCTCAAATAACAGAAGAAAGTAGCCTCCATTGTTTCAGTAGTAACTTGGACTGCTTTGCCTCCTTCTTTCTCACAACAGTACCATCATGAAAGTGCTGTAGTCTTTCCCATTACTCGTTCTGGCGGCTCAAACTTGCGTTCTCAGCTGGTGGTTACCTTGTGTGCGCTGGTGCCATGTCCGCAGTTGAGGTGTTCCCAGGCAGACTTGATTGTTCTAAACGAGTGTTTTCATCTCGGCCCTCCTGGCCTGAACGAGCTGTTTTCCTTTTTCTCCCACAAAAGGAATCTTAATAGGAAGTGTAGAAATTAGTTGAGTTTTTCTAATTTGGTTAAACCTGGAAGATTGCTCCTCCTGTCTGGCCTGTTAAGAATATAAGAATGGTTACAATAGAAAAGAGGCCATTTGGCACATCTTGCAGATTTGGTAGTTACTTGGATCAATAAATTACCATGTCACAATTCCTCCGTTGAGGTGGGTAAAGAACTGTTGAGTTATGGTTTACTGCTGAGTGCAGAGTTGTTTGTGTGAAGTGTTTATTGTAAAGAGCCCCTCCTGTAGAAGAGCAGCGTCAGGTATACCTAATAGAAGTGTTGTTTGTATTGTAATGTATAATTACCTATAGTGCGTACATCTTAATTTACCACGCAGAAGTTTCTGGCTATCCTTATCTCTTCTCAAAGTCTCTGCTGAATTAAAACAAGCCTACGCATTTTGCATAGCCATAAGCATTTCTCTCTTTTTTTTTAATTGCGCCTGAGTACTGTACTAACTTGTCCAATCAGATTTTCGAAGGAGGCAGGGAGCTGTGTTTATGCTACAGTGCTGCCAGTTGAAGGGAAGTTGAGTTTTCTTCAGTAAGGAAAAATATTAACAGTGACAATTGTAATTATAATGCATTTAGCACTTTTCGTTCCAAAGGATCTCTTGTTGGTTTATAGTAGGGGGCAGTTTTCATTTCCCACTGAATTGTAGAGGGTAGCTAACCTTAGCAGGAAGGGATTAAATGTACAAAATGGTGTATTTAGCTAATTCTTTTCACGTATAAATCTAAGGAATGGGATCCTAAATTACGTTTTGTGTGTGAAAGAGCACATAAAAAAAACACATCTCTACTCTTCTGTTTTACTGTACCAGTATTGACTTTTCTCAAAAAGAACTTTTCTTTTGGAAATGCCTTTGCCTATTTCTGATATTGTGCCTTTCCCGTTTCCATTGTATTCACCTCTTGATAGATGCCAGTGAGTGGTAGGCAACTGTCAGGGAGAGAAGCTATTGCATCCCCCTCCTAATTCCTGTGTGAAGTTAGAAAGTTTGAATGGAGACCCTGTACTGTCATCTGTTCCTGAGTGGTACAACAGACCTCCTTGACACATCATCTGGGTGAACACTGTGTGATTTCTGTCGGGGACAAGAGGAAGTCTGGCTGGATCCCATTGCCTTACTAGCTTTTTTTCACCAATGACTCATACGCTTCGAGTGGTCATTTAGATATTTTGGAATACAAAGCATAAGCCTGTCTTATTTCATTGTGAACAATTCTCTCCAGATACAAATTTGCAATTTGGCTCTTATTGCTTGGTTCTAATTTGAGTTTTCATTAACAACCTAAACTGAAATCTGGCATGCTACACAGCCAGCCTACCTACTGCAGCTGGAGACTTTCCCCAGTGTTAGTTGTTGTATAATGCCTAAATCTTTGGAAACGCTCGTCTTGGTGTTCTGACAGTCCGTCCGTCCTCTGTCTGGTTATAAATATTTGTGCAGAGCTTTTCCTGTTAAACTAGTATAAAAAAAAAAAATTGAGAAGTTGAGGAATTCAAAAAAAACAAGAGGCTTTTAAAAAGTTAAAAGCATTAGTCTGGATATCTGACAGATCCCTCCTCCTTTCAGATGAGCTCCCATGGCAGTGCAGAAATTCTCACAGAAAGGAAAAATTAATCTTCTTAAATTGGGCTGCAGTTTGATTTCATTTCTTGAGAGACGATTAAAATTCTTACATAAGCATTCTGGGGCCTAATGTCTAAATATCAGGTCATTGAAACACCCACAAGGGAGTGGGTCCACCAGATGTAATACTGTAGGTCTTTTTCCAAAAACCTTCCCGTTGCTCAAGTGTTTTCTTGAGCCACTCAGGACCTGGTCACTTATTAAAGTCTGCAAAGCGGATGTGTAGAACACGAGCGATATAAAAGCCAAATAGACATTATAGACATTGCTGTACATGATCAGATGCTGGCGGGATCAATAACCTGTGCTGGTAAATTTCCAGAGGAACAGTTTCAGAAACTGCTGTGGATTGATACTGTTGTTATTCCAGTGATCATAACAGGAGTTCCATTCAGGAGGAAAGTTTCTTGTGCTCACTGTGTGAAGATCTTATCACCACAAAATGTAAGAATGGGAACAAGCTCTTGTGTGTAGCTTGGGTTGTAATGTGCTTTTTCTGAGCTACAGCGGGAGTGGCATTTCTGGAACAGCTGTTGTCTGGACAGTGTGATACAGGGATAGTAGCAGTTCTAATTCATTTTCACAAATAATGCTGTCAGGACGGATGCTTGTACTGGAAAAATTCAAAATGGACCCCCAGATTTTTTTTTAAATGCATTTACACCAATATTGTGAGGCATACTTGCAGTATTCTTTCCTGCCATGTTGGTGTTCTCATTGTGGCTCCAAGGTGAGTATTTGGCAAAGAGAGAGGTTAGTGTTGTTCGATAGCGCTTCCAAGCACTGCAGTAGTGGGAGCCATAGGCTATGCATTGAGAAGCTCCCCTCCCAGATCAATATTTGCAGATCTAGCCAGCTGGAAAAGCAAATGATGCAAACAGAAGACCCTTGTAAGAGTGCTGAACAAACGCCTCCTGGCTGTTCTCTCAAACCGGCAAGAGTTGCCATTCCAGGACAGTGCGGTTGTCTGAATTTCTAGCTTGTAGATGCAATTTTCAGCTTGTGATTCTTAATTGGGTGAACCCTCGGTGCTTTGGGACATTTTTCTCCTGGGATGAAGGCCACAATAATGATGTCTGTGCCTGAGTGAGTTATACGGGTCAGGAAGCTGAGACCACTTTCCCCAGTCGTATCCAACCTGAGTTTCAGCTAGTTACACCTATATGCAAACCTCTTGAATGGCGGATCAAAAATATGCAAAGAAAAACAAATTTCTATGGACTGTGGTACTAACAGTAACAGGAGTCCTATTGAAGCTTTTCTGAAGCCGATTGCCTCTGCCTTTGTTTTTTAGAAGATTAACGAGCATGAGGAATGCTGCCCTTCTAAGAGAGCAGGATCTGGCAGGGGGGCAGAGGAATGGTCTTAATCCCAAGTGCACTCGCTCCCCATTCTCCCAGGAAAAACGGGGTGGGTTGACCTGCGAGCTGCTACTTTTTCAATAGAGTGTATTTTAACCTGCAATGTCAATTGCTTCATTCTTTTTGTTTTCATGATCCTGAATTGTAACTCGGAAATCTAGCTGAATGGTGACGGAGTGACAGAACAATCACAGATTGCCATGGTGCCATTGTGTGGGGAGAGCCCTGGGATTATATCCTTGTTTTCCTGTTCTGTTTTTCCCGCTGCATCCCCCACTGGGTGTGTGCTTTAGAATTCCGCCGTTTCTTCTCAGGGTTCCAGGGCTGCTGTCTCCTGTGAAAGTAGTGTCCCCAAGGCAGCCAGTAGGAGGACAGCATGGTGGGGGGGTGTATGCTTTCCACAGCGGTCTGAAGCTCAGCACTGAAGTGTTATTCACAGTGGCTTGTGTGACATAAATACAAAACCTCTGCCTTTTCGGAACAAACAACTTTAATGTCGAAATGGACAGTACTAAAGCACAAAAAAGGAAGTTTAAATATGGCAGCATCTGGTAGCTCCGTCTTATACATCATGCAGGGCCTGATGTAGATGCTTTTAGGTGATGTAGTTTTAGACCAGGGGTGTCGGACTCGGTTCCTTGACAGCTCGGGGTTTTCTAGGTTTTCTTACACCCAAGCTTTCTTACATAGCTGGTCTATTTATTCTTCTCACCAGGCTCTGAGGTGTTTTATAGCTCACTTCCTCGATTGAGTAATCCACTATAACTTTGACGTCCTCTACATGTCAAAGAAAATTCAGTAGTTAACTATTTTGGAACAAACTCCATGATTTAAGTTTGACCTGCTCCTCACCGTTCTGATAGTCTGGTTTGTCCTCTCTTCAGCTGAGGGAAGTCTTTTTAGAGGCAAGAGCTTGCTGGTAGAGAAAGTGTGTGTGTGACAAAGGACAATAAAGGAAATAAGAAACCCAAGCTTGGGATGAAATGAAAAGCTATTTGTCTTTCTAGTCCTTTAAAAATGCTCATATTGATTCTGCTTTTCCAAAACCACTTGTGCAATACTAGTGCTACCCTGTCAGTAGTGTCTGAACATAGCCCTAAATGGCAACAGTGTGTTGGAAACTGCCCAAGAGTACCAGGCCTCGAGCTCAGACGACCAGAAGGACTTCTCATTCCTCCAGTTGAGCTTGTTGGTGATCTTGGGAAGCTTCCGCAGTTGAAGCCGAGCACTCTTTGGTACCAGATGAAGGCCAGCAAGGTGCGTGTGTGTCTGAGGGGCTTTTTTTTTTAAACCATTCTGAAATCGCAGCTTTGCGCTGTGAGAGACGGCACTTCCTCCAGGGCTGGGCCATCTGTTTGATTTTGGAAAGGACACCAGTATGATCTAAGTCCTTGGAGGTGACTAATGTAAACCAAAGGAGCTGGATCATGCTTCACATTCGCATTTGCAGCTTGATTTCCTCCGATCACAGCTGATTGGCTCAGTGCTGCTCTTTTTCTGTGTGGTGTGAGAGTCACCTGGAGTGACCGAGGTTGTCCCTTGTTTGTTGTGAACACAAACCCTTGAGACGGAAAAACCTGACAACCAAGAATCCAGCTTCTTCAGTCTTAAAAGCCTGATGAGTGTTACGTGAAGCATGACTCTAGAGCATGAGGTTGTGAAACCTTTCAAGCACCGTAAAGGTCAGTAAAAGAGACCTTGGCATTGTTTTTACCTTACTAAATTCAGAAAAGCAGGATGTGACTCTGGTGTGAGTGCAGTAGCTGGTGATCTCATGTTTAAACCCTTGTCACAGTGAATAGTATGACAAGGCTTTAAGATTACCAGTCTCCTAAATTCCACATATGAGCTGGTTTTAAATTCCGGGCTTTGAATTTGGAAATTAAAAAGCTGTGAATTAAACCATATCGATTGTAGCGCATAAAGTAAAAACACAAACTTGCGTCCCTGTACTGCTTGTGAAATAACTTAACCCTTTCATTCAGGAAATAGTTCTGATTTATTCGAGCAGGACCTCCTGACATGGATATCCCCGGTCTCTTAATTGCACCCCTGCTTATGATTCCGATACTTAATAAAGCATGAGCTACTTAAGATGTAATTAATTTGAACGTATTTACTGTCTTAGTTTCACATTTCAAATAAACATCTCAATGGGCCAAACAGCCACCTGTTGTTTGGTCTTAAGTTATGATTTCATCTAAGGTTTGTAAAGACTAATGTTTGTAGCAGATACATTTGCATCACATTGTCTTCAATGAGAAAACAGAGCTGATAACCTGTACATCTATAATGTGGTTTGCCAGCACTGTTTACCTTAAAGGAAAGGTTACATTTTTATTTTGGGGGAACTGCAGAAATGAGTACCCTTGCTCAAAAAGTCAATCTTTTGCTAACATTCGCCGCCCAAGTCGACAACCCCCTTCCCGTGGAATATTAACCGTGGCTTACGCAGGATTTTTGCCGAACTTGAGCATGATTAAGAGGTGACACAGTTTGAGAAGTTGGAGCGCAAGTGTCAAGTGCTGAATTAGGCCACCCCTCCCCACTCCCTCCCAGTTCTTTCCTGCTGCCAGAAAATGAACTAGGTCAGGGAGCTCTGGGGTGTGGAATTGATCAGAATGCTTCAGTCCCCTTGTGGCTGCGACAGCAGTAAGTGAGAGGTGTTAGTTTGACAACCAGAGATGAAGAGAGGAGCAGGCTGTACTGCTGTTAATAAATAATGAGCTTTGCTCAGCAGCTCACATGTGTGGAACTGGGAAGTAGTTGAAACAAAATTTGCCCAGAAAGCATTTTTGGCATTAAGGTGCAGTTCTGCAAGTTAACGACATTAACGGTATTAACTGCAAGTAATGATATCTTCACGGATATGGTGTTAAGGGGTTGGGGGGGGGAGTTTTTTTCAAATGTCCTTAGGGGCTGCTGTGGAGAATGGCTGTTGAGAAGTCCCCCAACAATACTGATGTAGAGATTGAAACCTGTTTTCTCTTCAGAGCAAAGAAAAATCGTTGTGAAAGAGCCTGCTTTTTGAAGCTTTTTTTTTTTATTTGATGAAAGTTTGGTCCTAATGAGTCCAAAGCTGTTTTTGTCTGACTCCCCTGTCAGGAAAGTTAATATTTAAGTATTTAGCCAATTTTTAGGTGGCTTGGTTTGTGAACATTCCATAGTCTGTGTAGGTTCTGTCCGTGGAGTTGCAAACTGTAGCACTTTTATACTGAAGATAAGTGCCTTATCACCTAGGGAACCTTTTCCTTCTCTGCAATGGAAAGTTCAGAGCTGCCTTTTGTGTATCTATAGTGGAGGTTTTGTCCCAGGACAAGAAACTGAACACTGCTTAAACAGTGACTTGGCAAAATGTTGCAGACTGCTCTAAGCATGACTTTAAACCTTGTAAAGTGCCTTAGCTATTAGCCCTGATTCACCTTCGAAGAAAGCTATACCATTTCTTATGTGGTAATGGGCTGCCTGCCTTATCTACAGCCTGACCCAGCGCTTCAAACTGTCTTACGAATCCATAGTTCCCTCTGACATCACAGTTTCTAGGCAGATGTTATTTTAAAACAAATCCCCTGTCATCATGTCTGAAAGTTTGTTCAATTTAACCAGGAGTGTATATAATCAAACACATGTTTAGATCCGAAAACATTCTTTAATTTTTTCATAGCCTCTTGGTTGTGTACAATTGCCTGTTAACGTTGAGCTGTCACTGTAGAGCTCAGAAGCAACAGGGAGGGATAAGTAGTGAAATTGTGGAGAACAAATAATTGTGGATAAGCATCTTGTGCCCAATTATCTGCATAAAAACATGTCCACAGCTTGAACAGTCTTTGTGCCTTACACAAAATGCAACTTAGAGGTATTTGCTAAGGGTTTTTGGACCATGACAATATCATCACGGTAAGAAGCACTATGCCAAACTATTCCAAATCTAATCTGAATCACAGGAGGTCCTTTACAGAAAGGGTTGTGGGAGCCTGGAGTTTTTGAAGCTAATGCTCGTTTCATGGAAAAGCTGTATGAGATTCTTGGATCCATTAGCTGCCAGTAACAAAATAGGTCCCTGTAGCCTATTAACCTTTTGGTAATTGGAACCTTTGTTTTAATATAGGTTGTTGCATCTCTCTATGAGGAATGCATTGGTATAAAACTATATAAGGTGTCGTGTGTAGCCTATATCTAAATTGTCATTTTTTAAATTATGTTGGTTGCACTTCACGTAACTTGTATTTTACTTAAGGTAGCTTAATATTTGTGTCAATACATTTAATTACGAATGTCTGGTACTTATTTGGACTATAAAGTCTGTTTCATAATACTTGTATAGATGAAGTAGAGTGAAGAAAACCAGCACTTCAGCAGGTTCCAGTGTTGAGGTAATTGGTACCTCAGCTTTGCTTGCAAGTTAATTTGATCTATTTTTGCTAGAATAATCAGAAACATTTCAAATGTTGGTTGAAAAAGTAGACTTGGAATAGTTATATATCGCCGAGTTGAGATTTGAACAGAAAACGGTACCTTTACAATTTGAAATTTCTTGGAGATATCCCTCTCATCATCCTTGACTAAACACATGATTGTTTTGTTTCCTTGAAGTTACAACACGGAGCAGTTCCAAAGGCAGTGCTGAGACTTTGACTGGGGCACTCCTGGTAGCCCCAAACCTTCCCCGTGGGTCCCTCAGCTTCCTCAAGCTGAGCAGAAAGGAATGATCTTAATCAGAATCGATTTGGAGCCTGAATCAGCCTCCTTAGGAAGGGGGGGGGTGGATGATGCACAGCTGTTATCAAGGGAGTCACTTCTGTTCGGAACAGTGTGCTGCTGCTGAACACTGAGCTTTCTAATTGATTGAAATGTTTTAGGGTGTTGCATTGCGAAAATGCTTAAAATACATTTTGCTTTGAATAGTGTTGTATAAAGGCTGCAGATGTCTTACCAAAAGTTGACTGCCTTTTTAGCAGGTGAGCTGGTAGACAAAGCAGAGGAGACAAAGCTCTATGTAGGAGCCACTGGGGAGCCTCTAGAATCGGAGTCTGAAGGTGTATTTATGAA